GAAGGAGGCAATGGCAAACCACTTCCAAAACACCTTGCCTTGAAAACTGCAGGGACTTGTCTAGGCAGTCGCTGCAGAATCGGTAACGATTGAGTGCAGATAAAATATATACAATCCTGGCAACTATTTGCAGAAGCATCTGGGCAGACCCCCTATATATCAACTGATGTTTCCCAATCTTCAAGAGAAATCTCATTTAAAGAACATTACAATACTGAAATACAGTGATTCCCATGAATACAGGGCCCACATCTCCTATAAATACGAACCACTGTGCTGGAGGCAATGGCAAACCACTTCCAGAAATATTGCCACAAAAACTTCAGGGACTTGTCTAGGCACTCACCAGGAGTTAATACTGACTCGAAGGCACCAAAAAAAGAAGAAAAAACCCCTATAAATGGCAACTTTTACCAAAATATTACTGAAATATCTTAATATAAATTTAAGTTTCTTTTGCAGCTGAAGAACCAGCTTATTTTGAATTATTTTTTTCACTCAAATATTTTTAATAAGGATAATTTTAAAAAGGGTTTTAAAATTATTATTATTATTATTATTATCATCATCATCATCATCATCACCACCAACACCAACACCACCAACACCAACACCAACACCAACACCAACACCAACACCAACACCAACACCAACACCAACACCACTAACCTCTATCTTAAGGGCAAAAATTTGAGTTTATTTTCTCCTTGGGGTAGAATCAAAGGATCAGCAGGAACACAGAAAATAATATTTAATTTTTACACTGGGGGAGGCTTTCAAAATAAAGACATAGAGAAGAGAATGGAAAGGTTTCTTGTAAACTTTGTTATAACAAAGATACAAAAAATAAACTCTGTGAGCTATGGTATTATTTATTTAAAAAAAGAGCATCCACTGAACTAAAACCAAATTAACTAGCAGAGCAAATACATGTAGCCATTAATTCCTCAGACTACACAACAGAAAGTTTATGTTCTCTATATAAACTTTTGAAAAGAATAATACATTTGTGAGAAGCTAAATCTCTAGTGATAAAAGCAAATCAAATGGGAATATAACAAAGCTTTAAATAAAGTCGCACTGTTCCTAAAAACTAGTAGTACAGTAGATAACTAGGATAGCAAAGGATTTATTGGGAAGTCTAATTTAAATTTCACCTTAGCCTGAATTTTAGATTGCCAAAAACAAGATATCACCTTTTAGCTTCAGCCTGCTACCTGAAATATGGGGTATTTTGAGGGTATCTTGAGATGTATTTGGGAAAGTCTTGAAAATGTTTTACAAATACCAAATTTTATTATAGCATTTTCTCACCATATGCTGATTTTGATCAGGCATTGAAAATAAAATTGCCTAACCATGCCACACTGCTTTCCTCTTTTTGATGTCGTTCTTGTGTTCCACTTGGATCAGGATTCCCATCACTACTTATCCAAAAAGCAGACTATTAGAAATTCCATACAGTAATAAATATGTATGGGCATCTTTCCTCTCCTTTGTTTCCCTCCAGAAATACAACTTGGAGTTATGAGATGAAAAATGGAGAAGAATATTACAAAGAGATACACCTCAGGAAAACATTCAACAGAAATAAGCGGTGAGAAGAGTACCTGTGATAAAGGAATATGCTGATAGGATATTGCTGAACAAGGAAATCCCTGTGCTGGTACCTGCAGGCTTCATACTTCTTTGATGTTCTCCTCGGTGCTTCATTCACTGCAGGAGCAAGGTCTGCGGAAAAGGTAGGCTTCTGTTTCTTCTTCTCTGCTTTGGAATACAAGCAAGTTGGGGATGAAGTACATTTGATCTTAGGGTCCATCATTCAAGCCACAGAACTTTTCTCCTGCCTTTGAAAATTGTAGCAAAGAACTCCATTTCTATGAAGTGCACTGGTATGACAGTTTGACTTTGGCTGACCTCTCAGAATGTATTCCAGAAATTGGGTCTATCCTCCCCTGATTTCCTCCACTTTCCAGTCACTAGTCAGACTCATCCAGATGACTGAAAGAAGTATATAATCAGAGGCCTTTTTTTTCTTTCCTTCCCATTTTGAAGTCAAAAGTGCCTTTTTTGGAGCTCTAGAAAAATCAGAGTCAACAGGCAGCCCTCTGCTTGGGTCTGGCTGTAATTCTATAGCTTGTGACAAACCCCTGGCAAACAGTACGCCTTGCCCTCCAGCTTTATTAAACTGGGGGAGGATTTAACTCCCTTTATGACTTCCTAGAGGAGGTTGCATTCTTCATGCTCCCCCTTTAACAAAGAAAAGGCTGCAATGGACATGAGTTAATGATTGGATTTTATTTGCTGAAGTTTTGTAGCTCAACAGGAGGTTCATTTTTTCAGCTTGAAGGAGACCTTTTCAGACCTTACTGAATCATTATTGAGAACTCACTGAACCTTGATCCATTTGCTAACTCTTTTGCCAGCAGTGAAAACATCAATAGTTTTAAAACAATAAACAATCTGAATGATCAGTTCCCTAACATAAGGAATCTGTACCTCAAAACAAGGTCTTCCACTTATGTCAACTAGTTTGGGCTTCAAGGAAGAGAAAGGGCCTGCTGTATAAAATTCTGTTTACCCAATGAGTAGGAAAAATATATTTTTATGCATGTTTGTACTATTTATTTATTTGATCATAACCCCCAAAAAGAAAGATATGTCAAGAGTAGTGTAGAACAGCAAGATAAAATTTAAAGCACAGATCATGTAATACAGTAACAATTATAGTTTAATTTAATGCTCAGACAGTTAACATTAAGCATTTAAAGGCTGCACACACATATAGATGCAAACACATGTAACACTGAAATGGGGAAGGTCCAGATGAAGAGATACATCAGGGATATCTGAAAGACAGCACAGTTAGCATCTCTCAGATGTATTAGGGGTAGAATATTCCAAAGGTTGGTGGCCTACTTGACTATTACCACAATCTGTAGGTTGTAGGGTAATTTAGCCTGGTCTCCTTTGATCATTTTAGCAAATGTCTATGACTATACACTGGAGAAGGCAACCCACCATTTTATACCTTTTTTGTGTGTGTGCTTCTAATTTCAGAACTTATGCTCCAACTGAATGGGTTTTAGTTACCATGTATTGCAATACATCTCTTTTTACCCATACAAATGTGTTTGAAATCCTGCAGGAGAAAAACAATTTCGGGAGGCAGAGCAAGAGATCCCAAACCCCATCTGCTTTATCATTACTAATTGTCTCCATGCACCCAAATTCTGAAGCTTTGGGGAGGTGGGAATTGCTTGTTAGAAAAGATCGACATATGTATTATTTGGATAAGAGATAATTTGCAGTAAGAACACAGGATTCTGCTTCTAAGCAACATTATTATAGTGCAGTTACCCTCCACTGTGACCATAGGCATAAATTCTTAACCATGATGATGCCAAAATGACCAAACATGCATCATGACATCACAACACAAGCTCTGTCTTTTCATAGTTACATTAAATTGTCATATGCAATTTTGTAAAAGGCAACTTGCGCTGCAACATCACAATACACATTTCATCCCTTGCCCCCTCCTGCAGCAGCTTCGAAATATTAGAAGTCAAGGCTGGAACAATGGCCTACTCAAAATCACTGTAATCTAATTATTTATTCCAACCTAAGCCTTTCTTATCTACCAATGGTGGGGATAAAGAGGAGGGAGCCATACCGCAAGTTGAATGTATCAGTGCTGTACAGATGAAACAGTGAAATGCATACTCCAAAAATGAGCTGGATTCCCTTAAATGGGTGGCCAGTTATAAGCCTACCTGCAGCTAACAGTAGAAGAGTGATGACTTCCAGTTCCTAGGAAGCACCATTTGGCACTATTTATTATCAAACTATTTCTACCCTGGCTTCTTGTCGATTTAGGATCCTCAAGTCGGCTCCACTACCTCATATATTGCAAACAAAATGGCACAATAAATAACTATTAATAAGAACTCGTTTTTAGAAAAGACCAATTAAAACAAATTGATGGCCTAATCCATGAAAACAGAAGCATTAAAGAATAAATGTGAACAGCAACAAGACCAAAATTGTTTAGGTTACTTGGTTGCTATTCAAGTCAAATGATCATTTGAATGGAAGTATCTTGTATTAGCATTTAAAATCCAACAACAAATGTTTAAGATGCATTTCCTGGGGTAATAAATTCTAAACTTAAGTACTAGTACCAAAAATGGCCTCTCCAGTATGGCCCCCCAGATGGTGGTAGGACACAATGTGGAAGCACATTTGAATACAGGTACTCCTCGGTTAACGACCACTCATTCAGCAACCATTCAAAATTACAGCAGTGCTGAATGAATGGTAGTTATGCCTGGTCCCCGAAGTTACGGCTGCTTCAGTGCCCCTGTGCATAGTGCATAGCGTAGGACTATGCAGAGCATATTTGGGGAAGCGCAGGGGAGTGTAGAAGGCCAGGAGGAGAGTAGATGGTGAAAACAGAACTCTGCACAGCATGGGATATCGCCCAGTGATGCTTATTCAAATGATCTTTAATGGCTTTGCAAGCAACCCAGGAGAGGCCCCTCATATGTGCTCAAATAACCTGGCAGAAATGGTAGAAATACCAGACTGCAACAATTACTAACAGAACACAAGCACAATAAGGTAGTTAAGCTGAATCAAAGGGGATTTTGAATTAAAAAACACACACACACACGCGTGCACAAAACAACTGGGTGCACTTTTTAAAAATAATTTTTAGAAAAGCTTCTGATATGTTTTTCCCTCTATGTATTTTTACTTATATACTTATGAAGAAAACAATGTTAGTCTATGACGGTATAGAATATAGTTAGTCTATAAGCTATGGGGAAAACATGAAGCATATTTGGTCATTCACAGTGCATGTTTTATGTACATATGCATGTGTGTGTAGCTGTGAAGGAAAATGAAATGGAATTCTCATATATTCCTATTCTTGGTTAAAATGCCCCAAGTGAGTTTTCAGGCAATATGGGCAATCTGCATGTATCTCCCCAGCCCCCTTTTTATGCCTTTGGACTTTTAAAAATGGATCAAGGTTCATTACAACACTGTCTTCTATTTTTTTCTTACTTAAACCACAACAAGTTATGGTCGAATACTTTTGTTTTAGGGTTCTGGACTTTAGGGGAAAAAAGGACTGAAATTCTAACCTCTCTTCATCACCATTTTCTTCTGCATATTTCTTAGTGCCCAAGGAGAAAAAAGCTTTATTTAAAAAGGAAAGACAGCGTAGCCCCTGGCTGCAAAAAAGGTTAAGCATTCTTGCTTTAAAGCTTCACACATGCAAATATGAATGTTACAAATTCCTAACAAATGCATTCAGTAATTGCAAGTTGGAAGAACTAGAGTGTTTTTCAGGTTATTAGAGGAGGAGCAGCAGCCGTATACCTAAAGACACAAAAGACACAATAATATATTGGATTCAGCATCAACAATGATACTGCTTCCTACACTAGGTACCAGCATGGTACAGTATATGTACAATTATACAATTATCAATCGTAGTATTAAAATATGTTTAAGCTATCCTTCCTCCAAATATAGCGGAACAATGTACTAATTTATACTAATTTATTAAATTTATATGCCGCCTGACCCCCAGGAACATACAGGTAGTCCTCACTTAATGACCACAATTGGGACCAGCAACTTCATCACTAAGCAATGCGGCCAATAAGCAAAACAATACATGACCATGCCAGACTTACATCGTCAGTTCTGCTGCAGTTGTTAAATGAATCACCCACGGTCATTAAGTGACAAATCACATGACTGCAACTTGTGATTTTACCACTAGCTTCTTTTTTGCTTGTCAGAAGCTGGCTGTGAAGCTTGCAAATGGTAATCATGTGACTGCGGGATGCTGCAGTGGTTGTAAATGTGTGCTGGTTAGGAAGCACCCAAATTTTGATCGTATGACCATGGGGACTCTGCAACAGCTCCAACTTGAAGGTCTGGTTGTAAAGCTACTTTTTCAGTGCCTCCATAACTTCAAACTGTCACTGAACAGGGCAGTTGTTAACCAAGGACTACCTGTAGATACAAAACTATATTCTACATAATATAAGCAGCTATAAAGATTAACTGCTTCTTTTGTGACATAATTAACGCAATGTGGTATAGCGGGTAACCTTTAGCCAGAGAAGCTTACTGGGTAACTTTGGATCAGTCATTCTTTCTCAGCTCAGCCTCTCAATGTTGGGGGGGGGGGGGGGATCTATGCCATCTTGCGCTCCTAAAGCAAACATGTAATATAAATCTAACATTTATATTCTATGTAAAAATAAACTTATACAGCAGAAACACTTCATAAATTATTGCACCAAGAGATACATGGGAGAAGTTTTAGGATGCTATATATCTTAACTATATTAAAGTATGGAAAGTAAATTCCAATGTTTTATGCTCTATATAGAGTATTTTATATTAAGTAGGACACTGTGTAAATAATCAATGTATTGGAGCATATTAAAAAAAATGAGAAAAATAAACCCTTTCAAATAGATTTGAAAACATTTGTTAATAATCTTTGCCATTCTTGATTACTGCACCTATGTGAGATGGGCCCAAAAGTTATACTTGAAAGCTGTAGGCATCAGAACTGATGAAAGATGAAGCTGCAATTGCTACAGATAGCCAAAGTTCACCAAATGTGCTAGGCTTGAAGAAATAGTCATCCTCACCTAATCTGACTTCAATCTAGCATTACAAGAAGTGGCCTAGAAAATGACCTGTGTATTCATGCAGGTAATAGCTGGTAATAAAAGAGATTGCTCAGCTAACATTTTGGGCACAATTTCAGACATGAGAGTATAACTATTTGTAGAACAAACTCAAATGCCTCTTGATAATCAATATGGATCTGTATGGATCTGGGTAACAATAAATAATATCAAAAACTCCCTGGAGATTGGTTGAACTGCACAAAAACATCAAAGGAATGTATGTCATTGGCTCCTTCCTTGATGAAAGCAAGATTCCTGAGATGTGCAAACTTGGGTATTACATTTCAAATTCATCTGGGTAATAGGAACATTCCAAAGTTGATTCCAAACTAATGCTTATGGGAGGTTTA